AGCTGGCAGGTAGCCGATGAAGGGCGGGCAAAGTCCAAGTTTGGAGCTAGTTTCTAGGGAGTTCAGAAAGCAACGTTTGGAACCATGGGCTGCCGGCCGCGGGCCCGATCCGTCCTTCGCTGCCATGGCGTTTTGGTGCTGCGACAGGGTCCGCCAAAAGAACACAAGCAAGCTGGCAGGTAGCCGATGAAGGGCGGGCAAAATCCAAGTTTGGAGCTAGTTTCTAGGGTGTTCAGAAAGCAACGTTTGGAACCATGGGCTGCCGGCCGCGGGCCCGATCCGTCCTTCGCTGCCATGGTGTTTTGGTGCTGCGACAGGGTCCGCCAAGAGAAGACAAGCAAGCTGGCAGGTGGGCGATGAAGGGCGGGCAAAGTCCAAGTTTGGAGCTAGTTTCTAGGGAGTTCAGAAAGCAACGTTTGGAACCATGGGCTGCCGGCCGCGGGCCCGATCCGTCCTTCGCTGCCATGGTGTTTTGGTGCTGCGACACGGTCCTCCAAGAGGCGGGCAAAGTCTCCAAGAGAACACGGGCAAGCTGGCAGGTGGCCGATGAAGGGCGGGCAAAGTCCAAGTTTGGAGCTAGTTTCTAGGGAGTTCAAGAAGCAACGTTTGGAACCATGGGCTGCCGGCCGCGGTCCCGATCCGTGTTCGCTGCCATGGTGTTTTGGTGCTGCGACACGGTCCTCCAAGAGAACACGGGCAAGCTGGCAGGTGGCCGATGAAGGGCGGGCAAAGTCCAAGTTTGGAGCTAATTTCTAGGGAGTTCAGAAAGCAACGTTTGGAACCATGGGCTGCCGGCCGCGGGCCCGATCCGCACCTGCTCCGTACCCTTTCGTAAGGGCTCATCATAGCATACAAACTGTGCTGATACTCCTACTATCTCCTACCTGCTATTACTTCTCCTCCTGCTACTGTTGCTGCTAAAACTGTTGCCACTGCTAGTAGAGGGAGCAGTAAAAAAAACAACACCAGCAGCAGTAGCGGCAATACAAGGAGGAGCTGCAGTAGCAGTAGAAATAGCAGTAGCAGTAACAGTAGTACTAGTAAGAGTCAAAGTAATAACAGTAAAATAATCTAATGGAGTAGTAGTAATAGTAGCAGCAGCAGTAGTAGTAGAAGTAGTAGTAGTAGCAGCAAAAGTAAAGTAGAAGTACAAGCAGAAGTAGAAGTAGAAGCACAAGTAGCACAAGAAGCAGCAGCAGAAGTAGTAACAGATTCGGACTTTCATATTGGCACTTGTTGTGGCGTGACTGGGTTCGGATATGGACCAGGCATGGAACGGGTCTGGATCGGGGTATGGATCAGGACACCATGCTTTTTTAGTTCTACACGTGCCAGGCAAAGTAGAAACAGAAGGAGTTGTAGTCATAGCACCACTAGAAGTACAATAAGCACCTAGTGGAAGTAGAACCGGTCTTACAAGCCTCCAAGGTGCACTTGCAATATTGCGAGTAGCTAGTCAACTAGTTACATTTGTCCAACTACCGAAGCACACGGAGAACGTGAGCCAGCACCAGCAGCGAGAGCAGGACCAGCAGGAGCAGTAGCAGCAGCTCCTGGGAGGATAATCACTAGTAGTGGCGGCGGCAGCAGCAGCGGAGGCAGTGGAGGCAGCAGTAGAAGCAACGGTAGTAGCGATGGGAGTAGCATTACGACGACCAGAAGCAGTATATATTAGGATAAAAAGCATCGTTAAGGCCAGCATCAGTCTTTCTTCAACGAGAAAGGGGTATGGATCTGGGGTATGGATCAAGGGTATGGATCAAAGTATGGATCGGGGGGTATGGATCGTGTGTAGCTTTGGCGCCTTGATCCATACCTTGTATTTTGACTCGTACCCATATAGTTTTCTTGTAGGTTCGGGAAGTGACGTATGTGTCAACTCCCCCTCTCTCCCAGGGGTCGGCAGCAGGGGGCGTAGCCCCTTAATATAGTATATACCATCCCCAATAAATGGTAGGTTTATAGCCTTGGCTTTCCCACATCACAACACATCACAACACATCACAACACATCACAACACATCACAACATGGCGGAAGCACGGGTCCTTTGGCTCTAACCACACCAGACAGCACGATGGGCACGCCCAACAGCGCCAAGCGCCCAAGCTGCACGGTGCTTCATATGAAAACATATGAAAACATCAATGATGAAAGCATGATCTGAAAATATCTGAAACCAACAAAATCATCGGAAATCCGTTGATCAAAAATCAACGGAAAAATGGTTCATCTCCGAATGGTTTCTCCAATGGATTCACCATATTCAGAGTATCTTCACAGATCAATCTTTGGTTCAGGAAGCCTGTCACTGATAGATCTGATAGATGTTTGATGATGTTTGAGATAATTGGATATATATATATATATATATTGGTCAGATTCTGTGTACGAAAGTGAATTTCCGCTTCGCCTGCATGCCAGGCCCCAGCACTGCTTGTGGCTCTGGCGGTGGCTCTTCTTCAGGTGGATTCAGGAAGAGTCGCACCTGAAAGTCACATCACCAATGATCCGTTGAACCCTTTCAACAAGAACTGGGTTTCTGCATGAATTATAGTTTTGATTATAATTGTATATATATATAAATAATAAATAAATAAATAAACAAATAAATAAATAAATATCAATTCGACAGCTATTCCCCAGGGTCAAGGTGAAAACTCACCCCATCGCCATCCATCGCCAGTTGACATTTCCCCAGTTGGTGTCTCCAGCCCAGGTGCCCCAGGCCTGTTCAGCCAGCTGCAGTCCGAAAGGACTCAGCAGCTTAGCCTTTTCGGACCACCGGGATGGCTGAAGCAACATGGTAACATGGTAACATGATCATAATGATATGATACTGATACTGATATGATACTTATATATGATAAATATTGATAAATACTGGAATTATTTGGCATTTAATGAATGTTAATGAAATAACATGGCTGAAACTGATAACATTGCGAAGCTCCGAAGCCATGGCTTTCTGTCGAGAATCCAGCCCAACAAAAAAATACTGGAAATACTTGGACAATAACATCATGAATCCATCAACTTTCAACCAGTCAACCAGTCACAAGGAAAAAGGGCCCAAGGGCACATAGTGGATCCATACATGATTCTACATGCTTTTACATGATTTCACATATGATTTTATATATTTTTATCTAATTTTACATAATCATATTTTGGAAAAATCTCAAATTGCTAAGCTCCCAGCTCTCTCGAGGACATCGAACACCACCAGGACTTGATGATCTCCCCAAAGCCAGCGCCAGTCTGTGGTCTTCCTTACCGTCCAATGGTCATCCAATGGTCATCCAATGGTCCTGCGGGTCCAACTGGACCTGGTCACCCACTGGGCACTGCACATATTGCTGAGGTCGAGCTCACCGTCCTGGACGTTTTTCTCGGATTTCTGCACTTTCAGCATGCGCATTTGACGTGAAAAGAATGTATCCACACGCTTGCCAACTTATAGCCCTATAATGCCTATAATATCCTATATAATTATAATAGTTTATGTAGTATAATGCCCTTCATGTTGTTCAATGGCCTTTCCCTCGACCCCAAAACCATTCTGCCCATTGCGGTTATCGGCCTCAGCAGCCTTCCTCAAATGAGCCTCACAATGTTGAAGAGATAGAGCACAAGGCAATAGCGACAAAAACTGAAAGCTTGGAGGAAATCATGATAAACAGTGCAGGATAGTGCACGTTTGCGGATCTTGCAACGCTTATCACTGCAAAACTCTCTAGGGTCTTGGCCATGGCTTTCTTGATGTTTTGAGGAAGCACCAAAGCGACCATCGCAACCTCACAGGCTTTTTGAGTCTTCGGAACATCTTTACCACACTGTTTCTTGATCTGCTTTGAGACATGCTCTGAGGCGTTCAGCAGATGAGTCTCTCACCTCCTGTTCAGCCGTCCGATCTGGCTGCTCCATCAGGTACTTTCTGACCTTCTCCTTGAAGGTTTCAGCATGACATTCCAGGGATCTATTAAGAACATGATGAACATGATGAACTGATGACCATGATTTTCATTTCAAGACTTGAGTGATTTCCCATTCCTCTCTTATTTCGTATTGTACAGTCTACATGTCTACATGGACCACAATCCTGCTGGCCTTGTCCTCATCAACTTCTTCCTGCTGAACCTTTGGGGCCAGCTTCGCCAAGGGCGAATCCGACTGATTGCCGGTGCTGCCATCCCGTCCATCGCCTGGCAGACACCAAGGAAGTGAAAAAACACGAGGAAAACATGGAAAAAATATGGAAAAAAAACAAAGCAAAACAATCGCCATGGCAAGAAATGGAAGTTTACATGCCAAGTAAATGGTACTGAGGAACGGAAACAAAGGGACAACAAAATAGTACAAAATCGACACCATTTATGAACTGCCAGGATGTTCGGCTTCCGCTGTGCATGCCTAGCCAGGACCTCCCTTCATCTTCCTCGTCTGCTTGCCAGCCACGGAATAAGCAGTTGCCTGCGGACTGGATCTTGGTCCAGCTGTTGACAGTGGGCATCAGTAGTCCATAGCAGGAATATAGCAACACTGTGCACATGGCAGAAATGCCAAGTGAAAACGACACTCCCTTTGGATCTCAGTTGCGTGTCCAACAAGGCTCGGATGCAGTGCCTGCGCAACCATCCGGGACAAGAGCCTGTACCTCAAGGCCAGTTGAAAGCTCGGAGATGATCCGAACAAAGTGAAAATTGATCAAAAATTGATCAATTGGAAGATAGACCTGAAGTATCCTGAAGTATCCTGAAGTATCCTGAAGATCCTGAAGTATCAATTCACTCACCAACCGACTAGTTGGCATTGGTTCGAAGCAGTTCGAACCTTCTGAGGAGCAGACCTGCCCTCGAAGGATGAGGATGGCGCAATCGCCTTGTGGTCCGGGCCGAAGAATGGTCTGCTGGTCAAAGTAGTACCTGCCACATCCCGAAGAAATCCAACATCCAAACAACATACAGACATTCGATCAATACGGTAGAACGCAACATTAAGACTATGTATACACACACACATAATATATATATATATACCTGGAAAGCCATAATCCCTTTTTTTTTGTCAAACGGCCGTGACCATTTTTTTTGGTCATTACGGCCTTGATCGTCTGGAGCCACTTGTGTGAGAGTTGCTACGACTCTTTACGGCCTTTTTTCAACAAAATGCCAAAAAAATACGGTTTTGCTACGGGTAGGCTTGTTTGAGAGCTGCTACGGGTTTTACGTTTTTTTTCAACAACATGTCGAAAAAATACGGTTTTGCTACGGGTAGGACTGCAATGTTCTTTTGATTTGACTTTTTTGTTGGCATTATTATTATGAGTATAAACAATATTTTACCAAAAATTATCATTGCGGTTTTTTCCCGTAATGACCAGAAAATTTTGTATTTTTGGCTTTCGAGGTATGTGTATATATATATAATATGTATATATATATATATATGGCCTAATAGTATACAGACTCATGGCAAAACTTCGTCCATGGCCAAGACTTGGGGCACCGTTCTTCTATGCCTTCTGGCAGCGGGCCAGAAACAGAGGTTCCCAGGGCGTTGTCGACCATGAAAATGGACTGCGAAAATGTGTCGGCAGATTGGGACATGCTTCCAACTTCGATTTTTCTTCTGTTTCTTCTTTCCAAAATGTTATTTGCAACACCCAAAGTATCCCAAATCCAGCCAAATCCACCCAACATAATCAAACATATCTGGTGACATAGCCAGATATCAAACATATCAAAAAAAACATATAAAAAAAAACGGCTTGATATCTGGTGACGCTTGCCTGCCCTGGGAGCTGAAGGAAATCCAATGGCGTGTCTGGGCCGTCAGCAGGTCCCGGATTCCACACCAAGAGGTTCCTGGCTTCCTGGAGAGGGTTTCCACCCTGCAAAAAGCATAGGCAAAGGATGGGAACAGGATGGACAATTAGATATATAATTATAATATATATATATAAATAAATATGAGCGATATATATCATGATAATTATGATGATAGATCTGAATCAGATATGAATCGGATTTGGGTATGAAAGAATGACGGGATTAAGAGATGGGAAGGAGCTGAGTCTGCATAGTCTGCATGATCTGGAGACCAAACCTTTAAGCATTGGCCAATTCAAACATCCACTGGAGCCAACAAGACTTGCGATCTACGATCATCTTGCTACCGGTTGCTGGGGGGCATAGTGGCCAGGAACCCCTTTGCTTGCGCGAAGCTTGTGCGAAGCTTGCGCGAAATTCCCTGGGCAATTCTTGTAACCCGAGCCCAAAGCCTACAGATTGCTCGAATGTTGGTTTACGCCATAGGAGCCACCATGTTGTGTAACCCTTTTCGTTGTATATTAATTTAGATTTAAATTATTTTAAATTTATGTTTAAAGTGTTTACGTGATTTCGGGCTTGCGCGAAGCTTGCGCGTACATGAGCTTGCGCGAAGCTTGTGAAAAGCTTGCGCGCGTGTGACGCCATTCAAGTTTTGGAAGAATAAATTCCACCGAATACTAAAATCAATTGCCGAGAGTTTTGAACGCGGCTCAAGTGGACTTGGTGGCCTTGTGATTCAAGGAATCGATTCGATCCAAGGAGAGCTCATTGAAGTAGGAAACCTGGCACGGAGATACAAAGGACTAATGACATCTAATATCATCTAATGACAAAAGGACTCGTTGTAACAGATGTAAAGAAGTCGATGTAACATATTGTAACCAACGATGCCAAAGTCAATGCCATGTCACACGAGTCACACGAGTCACACCAGTCTCACGAGTCATTTCTGTGATCTGCTTTCGTCGCCTCAAAGGTCCACTTCAGTCTCGTGACAGGAGGGTCATCCGGATCCTGGTGACAGCTCCAAACCCATAGGATCCATGGTGCTGCTATATATGGTAACATTTACCATCAATATACCCCAAATGTTAGCATATATATATACCATACATGGATCCTATGGGAAAGGGTTCCGAAAGTTTCCGAAACGTCGGATCCGATGGATTCCCTGGGGATCCCGGCCTCAGGTTGTTCCGCGTTCTCGTCAATGACCGTCTCTTGCAACCTTAACGACTTAACGAATCCCAAATGGGGGCGGTGGCAAAAGATGGCAGTACTGCCTGCATCCCATCTTCCATCCACTCTCTTGCTGTTCACTACAGAATGCCCTTTGTCATAACTATTCATAGAACCCTTCTAGTTCAATCCTTTCTGCTTTCCCTTCAGCTCAAACATCTCAACATATCAGATCCCAAAAGATGTTCCAAGACATATCCCCAAACATCCAAAAAACAATATGGATAATGCATGACAATGAATGATAATGATCATATTTCCCATGATTTCCTATGATTTCCCAATGATTTCCCGATGTCCCCAGTTTCCCCCTGGGGTTTGGGCAGTTCAGTCAAGGCCTGACGCTGCACGAAGCGCACCCGGGCGCCCTCGGGGCCAGCCCGCAGCGCGCAGGTGCGTTGCTCCGAGCCCACACCCAGAAACTCCGTGATGCCCTCGATTCAGCTGGAAAAATGGGAAAATGGATGGAAAATGGTTGGGAATATGTGGAAAAAATGGCGGAATATGGGAAACCAAACCAACTGGGATTGGAATATGTTGGAAAAAATGGGTTGGAATATGTTGGAAACCAATTGGGATGTGGAAAAAATGGGCTGGAACATGTTACAAAACTGTTTGGAAACGGACGAAGTCAAGTTCAAGGATTTCAAAGGAGCAAAGAGGATGGAAACTGGAGCCACTGGAGCCACTGGAGCCATAAGATAAGTGAAGGGAGGGCAGCAAAGCCTCGCAATCGCCACGCTTCAGTGTTCGCACGATGCAAAGCCCACCCTGCAAGGAACATGTTGAAATCAGTGGAAATAAGTTGAAGTGATGCTCACAGCTGTCTGCATGTCACTGCGTTCCAGTCCTGCGGGGCATCTCCTACGAGTTTCTCAACAGTGCCACGAATGATGACAACCTGAGTCCAAGCAAGGCCAATTTTTGCCAATGAGAAACCAAGTGCAGATAAGTGAACATATGGTGAACATATGGTGAACATCAGAGTTCGTCAAGATCCAGGGAAGTGATGCCCAAACAAAATTTCAAATTAAGATGCAGAATGAGCGCGTCTCAAAACCACAAATGGCCACAACCACTAAATTATAATGGTGCAGACCATTTTGGCAGACTTGGGGTTCTCTCGGTCTTGACCCATACACTTTTTGCACATCAACGTGCCCTTGAAATCCGATGGTTATTGCTCCTCAAATGTACAAATCATAAACTAAGTCCACCACAAGCTTGTCATCGTAATCACCTCCGCGGCAAATGTACCTGGTGATCTCATGCTTGACGTGTGTTCGAAATTCTTTAAACCACTTATAGGAACTTCACTATCTTCACTTACACTTTCGAGGCACTCTCCAGGTTCGAGTTTCATGCCAATGAAGGGCTTGTGCAATGGAGGCCTGAACGGCTGGACATAATTCTGCTAAGACGGTACACTTACATGTTAGGTAGCAGCATGTAGCAGCACTCATGGTTGGGACCATTTGTATCATTTGGCGGTCCCAATTCAATGGGACATATGGGACCTGAAAACTGAGAGCGTCACAGCCGATCTTTGGGCAACTTCTCCAGAGTGCAGATCTCATCGTAGTCCGGGTCATACCACGTCTCCTGTAGGCTTTTCACTTCAGGATACTTCAGGTATCTTCAGGGTATGTTCACGGATATGTCAGAATGAAACATGCGTAACATGACGTAACATAACACAGAAGAAAAAGAAGTACAGGAAACCGCTCATTGCCCAACTTCACAACATCACTGGCTCTTCGGCCAGATCGCTCCTTTCCAGCATCGTGATATTCCCATTCGCGGATGGCTCGCAGCCTATGTGATCACATAACTTCCACGAAGTGGAAATGTGCTTCCAGTGCCGGAGCAAAGCAGAGCAGAGAAAGTGAGGTTGGGAAGGAAGAAAGGAAGATCCAGATTCAGATACCATGAACAGCAAGTTTCTTTCCTGTCACTAAGCACCCAACAAGAGTCGTTTGAACTCGATGCTGCAGCCCTGCGAAATCAAGTCGTCCCATTCGCTGCATTATTTCTGAGACACGAAGAGCTCTTAAGTGCCTTGAAGAGAGGCATGTTGAGAACGAGGCCATCGTCAATGGACCATGCCTTCAGATGCCCAAAGATGATGCTCCCACAGAAAACGTAGAGCAAATGTTGAAAAAACACAGCGGAAACAAAGCATGAAACTTCACGAAACTTCACGAAACCACAGATATCTACAGATGATCTGATCTGGGCTTGTTGGCCTCACCAGTCCACGCTTCTCTTCGCTTGGGCTTATGCACCTCGAGCGAACCCAGCTTTACAGCGGCGTACAAGTAACCACAAGCTTCGAATGGCACTTTGTCGAACTCAACAAGTCAGAAGTGAAACATAGTGAAACATGGTGAAAGCATTGCTGCATGAGGCATTTGCATGCACAATGATGCACAATGAACAGTGGGCATAGGGCTCAAACGACGCTGCCAGTGGCACTTGAACCTCCATCCTCTTTTTCCTTTTCAGGATTCTCAGGATTCTCTGGCCTTTCAGCTCTTTCATCCTTTTCATCCTCACAAGGCTGGAGCTGGATGCCAAAAACATCGGGGATTTAGTTCAGCCGCATACATCAGCCATCTCAGCCATAGGCTACATCCCCAGTGGCTGACGCAGAGTCACCAGGCTTTACTTCTTCGTCAGCCTCACGAAGGCACAGGATGACGCTTCGCCGATGCGAAAGTTCACAGCTAAAGCGTGGTGAAGGCTACAGTGAAACTCAGAAAATCACGGTGAAACTTCGGTGAAACCACGGTAAAACCCACAACCCTCTGTGCCTCGTGGCTCATTGCTGAATTTCAGCCGAATTCCCTTCTGCATTTGCTAATGGTTTGTGTTGGTTTAGTTCGGCTGGGAAATTCCAAAAGACTTTGCCAAATGTCTTGGACGGCTCTGTGCAAGAACAACTTTCAAAGACCTGGACGGCATTTGAACTGGTCAAAAAAACCATCAAGAAAAGGCTAACCTTTTGAAAACTTCTTGAATTATCTTATCCTAAACAGCCTGCATATTCTTTGTGCAACTTGTATATTCAAACTGAATTCTGAGCCAGATGAGGCCATTACAAATACAAATTGATCAAAACACATCACTGAAACCCAACTTTCTGAAACAAACACAGCAAGCACAACAAGCACAACCGTTTCGAGCATCGTTCTGCATCGTCCTCAAGGAGACCCACAGTCCCACAATGTCCCATAGACTTTTTCCGCGCCCTCCAACTCAAGCGAAGGCAAGCGAAGGCTTGAAAGAACTCACGTAAGCAGCGCGCTTGTAATGACCATCTTGTGAGCAATGCGCAAGAACTGAGGGAAGTTGACCTCAGGCTGCTAACACACCGGAAGCGGAAGCATCAAGAACCATCAAAAACAGCAAGTCCCTTGGTCTGTGCAAAAATGAACCACATCCCAATACAACTTTGCTTTTCCGGTGTACACTTTGAGGCAGCCACAATCATGTTTGGCTTGTCCGAATTGTCCTTGAGATTTGAGCAAACAAAATACTCGCTGGCAGTCCGACGCTAGTCTGACTGAAAATGCCCCCAAACATGTGCAATGTAAAATCTTGTAAAATATTGAAAAATAACTTAAAGCATGGCAAAAATTGGCCAAATATGCAATACACCATAATACACCCGAACAGAGCTTGCCATGTCGGCCAAGTTGCTTTTCCCGAAAAGGTGGCCACCTGCGTTTTGACCTCGTCAGTGAACACAATCGTTTGTTTTTTGCGCTGTGTCATGGGGGTTCTCTGCCTCTGCTAGGAGCCGAGATGGTACTGGGCACCCAACGGCCTGCAATGCAGCATTTAAGGCAGCTGCGCTCCTTGTCCCGGCAGTGCTGTGACATGCGTCTTTGACTACACAAAACTGCCACATTCTGAAAGGTAGCTGACGCCAATTGCAGTTTCCATAGTCAAAACCCTGGCACACTAGATTCACTAGATACCAAAAGTGTTGGTTATATGAAATATTATGAAATAATGGATGTTGATTCATTGATTCCCCCAGTAAATCCATGGTAAATCCATGGCTGCCATGACCCAGAAAAATGGTGGTTTCACCGAACGGTTCGTTGTCGGCTGAGTTGGGGACTTGTCGTTCCCCAGTGCGCGCCGCAGCTCGGGCAAAGTCATGAGCGGAACTGGGAGAAGGCACCGAACGCGATGTGCCTCAGCGGGGGCCAAACAATTTTTGGAAAACCCGATACAAAGATATACAAAATATGACCACATAATTAATATAATACATTTATATCATGTATTTATTAATATATATTATATTATTATATAATATATGTAGTGAATATAATATGTAAAGTCTGTAATAGAATGTCATGCTACATATCATATATCATATACCATATATCATGCAGGACCTGGCTAGGCAAGCTGGGGCCGGAAGCTTCAAGAGGGAACCTATAGAATCTATAGAATGTGTGTCACAGCACCCGCAGGTTGAGAAAAGAAGTCTTGCTTGTGCACCATGGCGCCAATGACCCCTCTTTGCACTTGATCTTGTGTTCTAGCATTCTTCTCTCTTGGTTCTTGTTTGCTCTAGATCCCTTTTTGCTCTTGGTCACTTTTCTCCCTATTCTTCCCTTGCCCTAGTCTAGTCCGCTCTTGTCTTCACTACGAGTACTATTGGTGTTCTCTTTCCTCTACTCTTCTACTTGATTCTTCCTAATCTTCTCTTTGGAACTCTTTGCTTCTCTTCTCCACTTTTCTCTTCCCTTGCTTATTCTTCTGTGCTGTTTTCCTTTCTTCTATAGTCTTCTGGATTTTCCTCTGTGCCCAAGACAAGAAACAATCATGGTTTTTGAAAAAACTTCTGAAATATTGAAATGGAATTGTAAACAGGAAAAATAATAGGGCTAACAACAAGAGAAAACTCATTGCCACAACCTTTGCGAAGCCATTCACCGCGATTTGCAAGCGCATGGAGCCGCAGCAGCCACAGTGCCTTCTCTTCACCCACATTGGCCATGTAGAGCTCCCGAAAATCTTGCACCTGCCGAAGTATGCATGCTCGTTTATCTCGTTTGTTCAAATGTGTTCAAGACAACTCAATACTTATTTAAGCATCTTTGCACAAGCCTCTTGACTCTTGAAGCTCGTGTCTCTGATAGCCCACTTTTCTCGAAAGCCCAAATCCTTTGCCTTATAGGGAACTTCAAGGCGATTTCACGCCCATTCCCATTCTGTCTTCGTTTGAACAATTCGTCTGCAAGCGGGCAACAAGATTAAAGAAATGAGTTGCTCTGGCAGAGAACCTGCTTGGAAGGGACTGAATTTCGCAAACCTGTACCGCGTTGAGATTTGTTTCAATTGGTTTCTGTCACGGCCTGCAAAGTCCTCTGAGCCTTGCACAGCCAGCTGCATCAAGTTGCGCATGTGTCGTATGAAGATCTGCGCATCGGCTGTCGGCTGTCAACTCTGCCATCTCGCCACGCGCCAACAGCATCCAACGGCAACATCTAGAGGCGCATCATGATAGGCACCATTCTTGTTATTACTATCATTATTGTCAATTGTTGTTATTATGATATTTATATATATATACATACATATTATAATATATATATAATCCCCTCTCCAATTGCTGGGGTGAGGCTGGAGGAGAGGATTTTCTGTATAAAATGGATTTGGCACTTTTTGACCATCTATAAAAATCAAGCCCTGCAACAAGCAACCACCAGAATCACTATAAAAACAAAACTCAAACCATCATTCTGGAATATTATGGACAGCTCTGGTGTATATTATTAAAACCCAAAGATTGGTTTTCAAGATTTTCAAGTCTATAACTCAGAAGACTGCTAAGTCAAACCCTCTCCTAGTAGGTGCCAGCATCTTAGGGATTAGATCTTATAGATTTTTGATATACCTTAACCAATTCAAGGTCTTCAATGATGGAATAGATTTTATACAGAATCTAGGGGTTACCAAGGTTTTAAAAAGTAGAGCTCAATTCAATCTGGGGCTTCAATTTTATACAGGAGCTTCATTTTATAGTCAGGTGCTAGAATTTCCTCCTTCACAAGATCAATGTGAGAAGGTTGTGATTTTTTACCAGCGCTTGATTTTTTACAGTCCATCGATTTTATACAGAGGTGTGGCATCTTTCCTGTGAGCAGCTGCAGCATGCAATTTTTCTTGTGCTTTGCCCATGGTCTGTTGTTTCATCCCACATCGCCGCATCCAACCATTGATTCAATAGTGAATCAGGCTTTGCAGCAGTACATAAGCTCACCTACTGAACCCTACCCAAGCCAGATTTAGGCTCCACTCTGAAGCCCGCAATGGGGACGTCAAACATCGTCAAACAACAAGCACAACATCCATCAACACAATGAGAAACACATCACCTGAAGCACCTGCGCATATTCAGACATTGAGACTGCCGATCCCCAAATGCGGTTGACGTGATGAAAATGCATCCATTGATCCCACCACAGCATACCACAGCACTATAGAATGATACAATTAAAAAAAAAACATTAAAACAAATCAACCCAAACAACAACAATAAATAGCAATATATAATATCAGCAATCCCAAGAAGCTATCGACGCTAAGGATCGCTTAGGCAGTTCTGCAAGGCAGGGATCTCAAGGGAAAATACATGCATTCCAAATTAATTATCAAGCTTCGTCAAGCTTGAGATGCAAAATGCATCTTCACTCTCAAAAAACTCAGCGCTTAATGAACTGGCAAATCTCAGTGAGCAACATCAGCCAAGCACCTCGCTCAGGCTGGTTGGCCTGAAGCTGTGTCTGAGCACGGAGGAATCTTTGATGGACTTGTCTGCCAAACATCTTGGGAGACAACTTCCAATACCTCGAGCAAGGATGCATGAGCAGATCAGCTTTCTATAAAATGATATCCCACTGAAGCTCCAACAATGTCATCTCTATAAAAACCCAACCATACATGAATATGCAAATATGGTGTTTCTATAAAATCAAGACCCTGCAAAGAGTATGAAAACTCTTGGAAAGGCTGATCATGCCTTGTCTATAAAATCCGATCACATCCAATCCAGTTATGGAATGGCAAAGCAATGGCATTATTATGACATCAGCATGCCAAGCGACGTCGCTACAAAGAACTGATGCGCGTTCATCACCACTTCTTCCCACGTGATCTCCTTGAACTTGTGGTTGCCAGGAAGTCTGCAAACACCATCGAGGGAGAACGAAGGATCTTTGAATCTGCCTAGCTCGGCTTTCCTCAAGCGATTCATGGTCTGCACCACCAAGGTAGGGCCGTCACCAATCTTCTTGAAGTTCTTGGGTTGGAACGGGACAACCTTGGCTTTCTCAACTTTTTTCAACTTCTTCAAGGACTTGCTGGCAACGATCACGCCAGATGCCTTCTTCACCTGCTCTTTGTCTTTCTTGTCCTTTGAGGACTTCTTCTTCTTCGACTTGCCCTTGCTTTTCTTTTCCTTCTCTTCCATGCCGTTGGCTTCTTCATCATCTGCCGGCACCTCTGCCTCAGTCTCCTTGGTATCGCCTCCAGACTTTTTCTTCTTTGAATTTTTCTTGGTTCTCTGCCTGCGTTTCCTCTTGTACAAGCCTCTTGAACCTTGGGTTGGTTCATCCTCAGGAACTGGCCACCAGTCAGCAACGCTGCTGTTCAAGTCAGTCCAAACTGACATGGAGCTTTCCGTAAGCTGGCAAACCATGCGATCAACTTTCAATTCTTCATCCTGAACATCAAGGATCGCTACCACTGACTCTGGTCGCAGGACCCAAGGTTTGGACCTCTGATGTGCCTGAAACTTGGTGAGGAAGCCCGGACAGCCTTGCAGTTCTAGGCACCTGAAAGCCACCACATGGCCCAG